AACTTCTGAATTAAAATTAAAATTAAACTTTTGGGAAAAATTAAAAATAAACTGATGATATATTAAAAATAAACCTAAAAATTCATGAATTATTTCGAAGTCATATATAATAACTGATGATATTCTTGGATAGGTTTTGGGATGATGATATAAAGATCAGATAGATTTTACTCTTAATTATGATAGACGTGGTTATTATGAAAAAAATTCAAGAATTATGGTCCTTTAAAATTAGAAATAAACTTCAACTAAATTATTGAATTGTATCCTTTATATACCTAACATTCATGAAAAAAAAAAACTTCGAAATATTAAATGCACCCTTGGTTTATTGCTTTTGGAATGTGGACCTCACTTTACCATTACATTGGAACCTTGTGCTTCTCAGTTCTCACATTGTGGTTGAGGCTAACATTTCTGCTTCTTTCCTTCTGCACCGTGGACCCTAAATTGATTGTATGTATAGTTCAGGCTGATAATGGATATCCCATATTATTCAATTAAAAAATATTAATTTTTTTGAACAATTATACTCCAATTAAATTCTTGAATGAAAATTAAAATTAAACTTTTGGCAAAAATTTAAAATAAACTTGAACTAAATTATCATAGACATAATTTTCGCAACTCATAGATTTAGAAATATTAGATTTCTAAATTAAAATTAAAATTCAACTCCAATCAAAAGATGGATTAAAACTCCAATTCAACTCCAATTCTAAATTAAAAGATGGATAATTAAACTCCAATTAAACTTCTGAATTAAAATCAAAATTAAACTTTTGGGAAAAATCAAAAATAAACTTCAACTAAATTATTGAACTATATGATCATAGACTTTACAATCATGGAAAAAATTCAAGAATTATAATCAACATAATAATTTGGAAGTCGTAGATTTAGAAATGTTAAATTTATGATATATGCATATAAAGATTTGTATGTATATAAATAGTAATGATATTTTTAGATAGATTTTGGGATGAAGATAAAAATCACGTAGATTTTACTCTTAATTATGATAGACTTAAGTCATAGATTTAGAAATGTTAGATTTATGTGATATATATAATACACAAAGATGTATATAATTATAATGGATAAATATATAATAATATATACACAATAAGTGATGATATTTTTAGACAAATATAATATACATAAAGATCTACATATATATATATACAATAAAATAATATATATATATATATATATATACAATAAGTAAAGATATTTTTAGATAAATCTTGGGATCAAGATAAAGATCACATAGATTTTACTCTTCAATTTTGACCAAGGAGTTAAATCATCTAGCTGGAATGTTAAATCAATTGTCTGCCACTACCTTTTGTTTTTTACTCTTTTGGTCATTTAGATGCTTATTTTCTGGCCTTCTGTGGTTCCAAGGGTGGCTATTTTTGTCATTTCGACTTCTTTTGTCTCGGTTTTCCATATTTCTTGTTTTTTTACTCGTGCAACTACAATACAGAGGTAGGACAGATTCATGCAAATAGTTTGCTACATCCACAGAACCAGTTTACATGCAAATTCCCCTGCATTTTACTACTTCCTTGACATCAGGTATTCTTTTATCCTCAGCCAAATTTATTTGGGATCAGGTCTTCATTTCTTTGATAGTACTATGTATTTCTTTGATATGAATCTTTGCTCAGGTGTTTCAGCTAAATTTTTCATCAAGTGTTTCATATCAGCAGAGATTTCCTATCTTTATGGAGGTCTTGTACTCTTTTTGCTTGCTTTAGTTGCTTTCTACTTATGTATTCGTTAGCTTCCTGTTTTTTACGTTGATAGTTTGTTCTTTGTGCATCAATATATATCTGTTTTTTACGTAGATAGTTCTTTACATGCATATGTACAAAGAATACCTATCTGTGCATACGCCTACATTTTTGTTCCTCTGTCTTTGTTTCCTGGTTGGTCTCTGTGTATAAGAAACATGAGCTGCTCTAAGCTGTTCGTAAGGGATGATCCTCATAAACTTCATGAGAAAAAGGATAACCGAAATCATAAAAAGAGGGAAAAATTTGCAGCCCTTTCGGCTGAAGAGAAAGAAGCCTATCAGATAAAGAATAGAGAGGCTTATCATAGAAAAAAATTGGAAAAAATGCTTTCGAAGTCTTTGCCAGAGCAATTTCAACAAGCTTGCAAATCACCAGCTTGTACATCTGTCATGCGTACCCTTGCTACTGAACAATGTTCTCACGGTACATGCTAATTCCAACACTCTTATTATATTTCCATCATCTGTCTGTTAACCATTCACTATTTCCCTTACGTGCTTCATGTTTATCTTTGAATCATAAAGTTAGCAGAGAAACTGATTCTCAGAATTTCAAAGACAAAGAGAACGTTCATCGAATTATTGATTGTAATCAAGGTTAGCCATACTATTTATTCTTGTGTAAGCAACATATTTACCTGTACTAAATTCACATTTTTCTCAAATCATTCGTAACTGCTTCCTCTAATCAGTTGTTATACTCTCATTTTACAGGTCACTGCAGAGGTACTATTTCTATATAAGCTACTATGTTCTGATCACTTACACTTTTGATTGTTTCTTATGCTGATTATTAATTTTAATAGGTCCTGTAAAATGTGGTGTTCAAATTTCTGAGTCTCCAAACAATACTGCTGACCTATCTCATACTCAGTCAAGTAAAAAGTCAAAGCAACAGATTTCTTCATTCTCAACGTATGAGAAAGGTAGATTACATAGTTCATTTGCAATGTATTGTTTATACTCAGATTATAAGCATTATTCTATTGATACAATCATCTATTTCCAATTTTTAAACGCAGGATCTACATCTAACTCTGAAACAAAACATACGTGCCTAGCTTTTACACATAGTACAGGTTATTTAGGCTTCAAAATTCATTATTGATTCATGTTCATTATATATAATCATGAACATTATGATGAACACTCATATTAGTTAACTTTTTTGGTTATCAGATGAATCATTCATATGTATGAACTGTTACAAAATTTTGACAGAAATTGCTGAAGAGGCTTCAGGTGATAAATGTTTTTCCAACTTTTTAACAAAAGTCCTCATATCATTATTTGTAAGAATTTTATGAACTTTATCTTTAATAGATTTGTCAGTTATTCTGCCAACATACCAAGTGTATCAGCTTCCCAACAGTGGCTCTATTAGAACAAGGACAACTGGAGGTTACTACCTTGAATCTTATACTCATTGTATCTATTAGCTTTAATGTCTCATCCAAACACATTAAACTCTTTAATTGCTTCTGTTATCCGTGAAAATACTTCAGTTCAATGATCCAAATGATATTATGATTACCACTCACATACATTCAATGTTATTACAACTCATTTCTTCTGATAGCCTTCCAAAGGCTCAACATAAGGATATCTCACTTATTCACAACATCAGCTTCACATGCATAACTAATAGTTGAAATCACTTCTGATTATACATAATTGAATTATTCAGGTAAAACACATTCATCAACGAAACAAATCAAAGCCATGAGTAACAGAAAGAAAAAAAAAGAGGTATACATTACATACCATTACTTGTTGCTTTTCTACATAATTATTTTGACTCTCAACTTTTAGTTTTACTCAAGTAATCGATAATTTTACAGCAAATCAAGTTGTTGATGGAGTTCATACACTGCAGTCTATTAATGACAATGCAGATAGATTATCTACGAAACCTGATTGTCAATATTGTGGAGCAAAAAGGATGCATTCTGAGACACCTAATTTCTGTTGCTCTGATGGACAAGTATTTCTACATGAAAATAGGCTTCCAGATATTCTTGTAGAATTATTTACTGGTCACTCTGATGAAGCTTTATCCTTCCGCACATATGTCAGAACATATAACAATATGTTTGCTATTACTTCTTTTGGTGTGCACTATGATAAATCGCTTTGCAAGAGATCAAATGGTATTTATACATTCAAAGTTCAAGGACAGACCTATCACTTCATCAAAGACCTTATTCCGCATGGAGGATATGGATTATATCTACAGCTTTATTTCCATGATACTGAGCATGAGCTTCAAAATAGAATGGCAGTTTCCGAAAGATTAACAGAAAGTATAGTAATCAGAATCATGGAACTGATGAAGTCTAATCCATATGCATCCTTTCTGCAAAGCCTCAGAAATGTTCCAGATTTAGATTCATATCAAATAGTGCTCAAATCGCATTCAGAAAATGATCAACGAGTATTCAATCATCCAACAGTCTCTCAAGTTGCAGCTCTTTGGACAGAAAGGCAAAATTCAGAATCAAGTTATGCCAGATACATCCAAATTTATACAAAAGAAGGGCAGGATCACCTGGTGCAATATTATTATGGTTGTTATGATCCTCTACAGTATCCACTATTATTTGCACTTGGTGAAACAGGCTGGCATCCTGGGATCAGAAGAGTGACCAGAGACAATCCAAAAGAGAAAAAGATCTATTCAGAAAACCAAATCTACTGCTGTTATGACCAATTACAAATCTGCTCAAGAAATGATATCTGCAGAAGAACAAGGTACTCTCAACCTCTAATGACTTATGCATCAATGATATGCAAATCACTTATACATTACCTATATACATTAGTTATGCATTACTTATATAATTACACATGTGCACTGACTTATATGCAGAATACACTACTTTCATTGGTTATATACAGAACACACGTTACTTATATTTTCTCACTGTATTCAACTTCATCCAATTTAATCAATAACTTATAGGTTATTTATGCAACTTTCAGCCTGCAATGATCCTGAAAACAACAGCGAATCTGTGTCAATGCGAGAATATTATGCTTATAAATTGCAGATGAGAGATAAATATTGTCCAAATATACTCAACAGTGGAAGGTTACTTCAGCAGTATATTGTTGATATGTACATAAAAATCGAAAGTCAGAGACTAGATTACTATAAGAGCAAAAAGAATTTATAAGGAGAGAGGAACTACAAGATGTTATGGATAGCGTGATAGCAGGTCAATGCCAAGGTTCAAAGATAGGTCAGCGAGTGGTGCTTCCAGCTTCATTTATAGGAGGTCTTCGTGACATGAAAAGGAGATATGTTGACACTATGGCATTGGTACAGAAATTTGGTAAACCAGATTTATTCATTACGATGACTTGCAATCCTTCATGGCCAGAAATAAAGGATCATATGCTGCCAACAGATGAAGGACATAACAGGCCAGACTTACTGACTCAAGTCTTCCATGCAAAGCTTGATATATTGAAGCAAGAGTTATTCGAAAAAGAGATATTTGGATTTGTTGCTGCATACACCCATGTCATTGAATTCCAGAAACGTGGTCTTCCTCATGCTCATTTCCTCATAATCTTGAAGCCAAGTTCAAAACTTTACTCCACAGATTCTTATGACAAAATAGTTAGTGCAGAGATGCTAGATGAGACCAAAAACCGACATCTTTTCAACATGGTTCGTAGACATATGATTCACGGTCCCTGTGGGAAAAAAATCGAAAGAATGTCTGTATGCAAGGAGAATATCAGAAAAAATGCAGAAACAATTATCCAAAACTATTTGCTAATAAAACCTTCCATGGAGATAATGCATACCCCACTTATCAAAGAAGGAACAATGGATACAAAATGATGGTTCGTGGACATGAGGTGGATAACAGATGGGTTGTTCCATACAACCCTTACCTTCTCGCAAAATTCAACTGCCATATAAATGTTGAAATCTGCTCTACAGTAAAGGCAGTCAAGTACATATACAAGTACATCTACAAAGGTCATGACAAGATCCATTTTCGACTGAATTCAGACAATTCTAATGGCTCAAATTCTGATGCTTATGTATCTGCAATCGATGAAATCAAAGACTACCAATCAGCAAGGTGGGTTTGCGCTGTCGAAGATATATGGAGAATATACAGATTCTTGCTATTTGAAATGCATCCTTCTGTTATTCACCTGCAACTTCACTTAGAAAATTGTCAGCCACTGAACTTCAGACAAGATCAAGACTTACGCGATGTAGTAAGAAACAGATTTGCTAAGAGAACTATGTTAACAGAATTTTTTTACATGAATTCTACTAATTCTCTAGCTCGGAATCTCAAATGCACTTACAAAGAGTTTCCTGAACATTTTGTCTGGTATCCAGGAAGGAGAAGATGGGAGCCAAGAAAACAGAAAGATTCTATAAGCAAGATAGTAACAGCAAGTCCAATGGAAGGAGAACGATACTTTCTCAGATTGCTTCTTACACATGTCAACAATCCAACTTCATTTGATGATTTGAGAACAATAAATGGAGCATATGTGCACACATTTCGTGAGGCAGCAATTCTAAGAGGTTACTTTGAGTCTGATAAGTCACAAGAACAATGCCTCGAAGAAGCAAGTTTGTATCAGATGCCATATAGTTTAAGAAGATTATTTGCGACTCTGCTTGTTCATTTTCCTCCTTCAAATCCGAGGTATCTTTGGGAGTAATTTGAGAAGCCATTATCTGATGATATGTGCAGAATTCTACAAATATCAGTTGATCAGATTCGTTTGCAGGTATTATGCCAAATAAATGAGTTTCTGCAATCAATGGGAAAAGACATTAATCAATATGCTTTAGTTCCAAATACCCTGTACTTTGATAGCTTGAACAAAAACACTCGTGATACAGTAGCTGAAACAAGAATCTCTGTACCAAAGCATGACCTATTAGCAATTAAACAACTAAATACTGAGCAGAAAAAAGCTTTTGACATATCATGAATGCAGTTTTTGTTCATACGAAAGGAACCTTCTTCATTGATGGACCAGGTGAAATAGGAAAAACATTCTTGTATCAAGCACTACTAGCAGAAATCAGGTCAAAAGGATACATAGCTCTTGCTACGGCATCCTGTGGAGTTGCGGCTTCGATTCTGCCAAGTGAAAGAACAACTCATTCAAGAATCAAGATACCAATTGGTGGAACAGCAGATAAGCAATGTAGAGTTAGTAAACAAAGCTTATTAGCAAAACTCCTTCAATCCGCAATTCTGATCATCTGGGATGAAGCTCCAATGGCGCATAAGGCCTCAATGGAAAGTGTCGACAAACTTCTGAGGGACATAATGGACTCAAACGATCTGTTTGGATCAAAAGTTATTATTTTTGGAGGTGATTTTCGTCAAGTCTTGCCAGTGGTAACAAAGGGATCAAAATCTGAATTTATTGATGCAAGCATAGTCAATTCATATATATGGCCAGAGCTGCATAAGTTACATCTGACTGAAAACATGAGAGCAAGGCATGATCCAGAATTTACTCAATATCTACATCGGATTGGAAATGGAACAGAGCCAGCTATTTTCAAGAATTCTATCCAGATACCTCCATCAATGCTGATAAGATATACAAATGAGGAAGACTCAATGACTGCGCTGATCAGGACGGTGTTTCTAGATTTGAAAGCTTTTTCGAAGGGAAATTTATCTGCAGTTAACCGTGCTATACTGACAACAAAAAATGACTTTGTCGAGCGGATTAATGAGAGACTCATTGTACACTTAGAAGGACAACTGCAAGAATACATCAGCCGAGACAAGTGTATAGACAACTCTGACCAGACAATCATGGAGGACTTGCTAAACAGTTTAACTCCAAATGGTTTCCCACCTCATAAGCTACTTCTCAAACCATATTGCCCTATCATGTGACTGAGAAACATTGATGCACCTCAGAGATTATGCAATGGCACTAGACTCATATGCAAATCATTAAGCTCAAACATCATACATGCGGCCATAACATGTGGTGAATTTGCTGGAAAAGAGGTCTTCATCCACAAAATTTGTTTCAGAGTAGAGAACAATTCAAACTCACCAGTATCATTTGAACGCATTCCATTTCCTATTCGACCCTATTTTGCTATGACAATTAACAAAGCTCAGGGGCAAACGCTTGATTTTGTTGGCATATATTTGCGTAAACCAGTTTTTCACATGGACAACTATATGTAGCATTGTCAAGAGCTAAAAACAGTAGCTCTATCAAAATTCTTATCAAACCATGCATATTTGATGACCAACAAGACTCGATTACTGAAAATATAGTATATAGAAAAGTACAAGATTTAGCTTATCAGTAACTGCTCTAAGCATGTGCATATTAGCTATTTATCTATGTTGATAGTTGTATATCTCTTATACTTTTCATCCAGTACTTATGTATTCTTATTACGAGTCACAGGAGGACAAAAACATCATTCCATTCACTGAGATAATCCCTGGACTGCAAAACTGGACAACTGTGGTTCAGGTTCTGGACAAGCAAAAGCCATTACTCTCGAAAGAAGGGAACTGATATTAGAAGCTGATATTAATTGATAAGCAGGTAATCCAAATTCTGAACTCCACTCTGTAGGCTATGTTACTCAATCTTTATACTCAGATAAATACAACTATAATTGTTATCAGGGTACAACAGTTGAAGCAATGATTTATAAATCAAACATCGACTTCTTCAGAAACCATTTCCAACTGTACAAACAATATATTCTCTGCAATGCTAGAGTTGAGCACACACCATCAGAATATCGCACTCATCCAAATCAGTGTACATGGTACATAGACAATTCTACTATTGTTCAAACAATAGACGAAGTTCAACCATCTCAGATTCCAGGTGTGTTCAGATTCTTGCCCTTTAGAAGATTCCATCAGCACATAGATGATAATACATATATAGGTAAATCAGAAATACATTTGCTGAAGTCCTAATACATATAATTTTGATAACAATTATAACTTAGCACATTCCAAAATCAGATGTCTTAGGTATTGTCGCTGAAGTTCATCCTCGAATACAAAGAGTTACTACTGCTACCAGAGAAGTGGTGATTATAGATAAAAGGTATGTAAAACCATCCATTTATTCTATATGAACTCTAAACCATTATAAATTGATCAAAATATTCTCTTCTAACAAACTTTCACTTATGAATAAAACACAATGCAGCATGCTGCCAGTGATTCTAACTCTTTGGGGTGAGCATGAGACAGATGAAAGGCAAGCGATTGCAAATGTCATTGACACAATGCCACTAATTGTTGCACTTCGAATTAAAGTGTCATCATATCACAGTGAGTAGATCACAAATTTCCAATCGTGCACATATTTTCTCACTTAGTATGTATTGAAAATACCATGTACCTTACGACACATAAGTATTGCAGTATTGAACCTTTCAACAAAATTTGGATCAAGCATTCTACTTAATCCTCCAATACAAGAAGCTGCTGATCTTAAACAGTGGTACTAATCCTTCTCATAAGTAACCACGTCAGAATATTTTCTATCGAATATATTCTAAGGCTTAGAAATAAAACTTATACCTTCACTTACAAGGGCTACTAAGACTGAAGCAGACATCAAGAAACTGATAACAGAAAAAGCATACCACAATCGAGCCAAGCTTTTGCCACAACCAAGAGATGATGAGCTGACCACTATTCAAGACTTCCTTGCATTTCCTACGGTAAATTTTACTTTTGATCCTTTATTACCAACAACATTTCAGATATACACTTTCTGTTTTTATCCTGTAGAAAATATATATTTTTTTATGCTGTACAAAATTCCTGGCTTTATGAAGACTTGCTTGTTCTTAACCTCTTGTACCTCTAAGTTGCCCAATAACTCTTATTACATTCTCTTTTTATTTCAGCATTTCCATCTTCTTGTTAAACATGTTCAATATTAAAATCTACATCTGAATTTAGTTATCAATGCAACTTAAACAATACTGACTTTAATACAGAAGAAAGCCTACTGGTTGCGTGGTACTCCAAGATTACTAGACAAGAGCCAACGATTATGGTATAATGCTTGTCCACAATGCCATAAATCATTCAGAGGAAAGCCTGTGTAGAAAATTGTTTGCACTTCATGCAACAAACAAGTCAATATTGCTCCAAGATGCCGATTAACTATAGAACTTGCTGATTATTCTGGAGTTTTGACGCTTGATCTTTATGATAACGATGCTCTTCAGTTGCTTCCCTTCACCCTATCAGAGATGCAGGACTTAGAAAACAAGGTAACAAATCTAGTTTTCATATGCATTCAAAATACTCTGACTAAGAACTAAGCCTACTACATTTAATGCAAATCTATTTATCTTACTTCTACAGCATGAACTCAACTATGAGGCCATTGAAGAAACAATTAACAGCACCATGATAACATGCTTTGTCAAGAAAATGATAAACACCTATGCTTCCACCAGTACTGAGAAATACTCAGCGATTATCCTACATAAGACCCCCATGGCAGACATTTTATCACAAGTTCCTTCCTCCATTGCTTACTCAGAGTCGAGTACACAAGCTCCTATCACCAGTCCACATATCAATCAAACTGCAGTCACTACTGGTGCAAAAGACACAAATGTCCATAGTAGCTTGCTCTCAACTCTAAAAATTACAGAGAGCCCAACTAGGAAACAACGTACTGAAAAGTCTGAAAAGGAAGATTGAAACTGCCATATAATACTTTTTGGTAGCACATATTTCTGGATATCTACTGCTGTTCCAGAACTTTTCATCCCTGACCTTTGGCTGCTCAGCTTTCTATTCCTTAATTTTTTGTTGCTAAACTTTTACT